TAAAAACGCGGCGTCGCCGCCGCGGCCGAGACGAAAAGGGCGCCGAGCGCCGCGGCGTTCGCGGCGACAGCCGCGCGGGCTCGAAGAGCAGGGCCCGCGGCAGCGCGACGCAGAGGAAGGGCAGGTGCGACAGGTCCGCCGCGGGCAGGTCCGCGGCCAGCCGCTGGAGCTGGCGCTGGTACCAGCCGTAGTTGAGGCCCGGCACGAGCAGGCGCCGCAGCGCCCGCGGCGCGCGCCGCGGCGCGGGCGCCGGCGCCGGCGGCGCGCCGCCATCGCCCGCGAGCCAGCGGCGGGCGACGTCGGCGTCGACGCACGCGGCCCGGCAGACGCCGACGAGATCCGCGGCGCCGAGCGCGCGCGCCGCGGCCGCCGGGGACCCGACGCCGCCCGTGAGCATGACGGCGACGCCGCGCGCGTGCCCCCGGAGGTCGCGCGCGAGCGTCGCGAACAGGGCGCCGCGCGCGTCGGCGCCGGCGAAGTCCGCCGCGTCGCCGAGGCAGGCCATGCCGGACGCGTACGTGCCGCCGGAGACCTCGATCACCTGCGTGGAACTCAGATCTTCAACCCGACTTCAATGTGAGCGTATTTGAACGTTTCGACGCAAGCTCTTCGGCTCTGCTTCGAGAACTCGACGAGAGCGATCGATTCGTCCAAAAATCAGCCGAATCGACTTCGATGTGACCGAGCTAGAGAATTTCAAAGTTTGGTCGGGACGTCCCAAACCGGCGGTTGATTTCCACACAGCTCGATCACGTCGACGCGCGCCTCGTCGGCCGCGAGCGCGCGGACGACCGCCGCGGCGCCGTCGCGATCGAAGCCGCCGGCCTCGAAGTCCGACGCGTTCACCTTGACGGCCAGCAGCTTCCCGGGGCCCATGGCCCGTCGCGCCGCGCGGCACGCGAGCAGCAGCGCGCGCGACCGCCGGGCCGCGTCGCCGCCGTAGGCGTCGCGCCGCGCGTTGCCCCGCGGCGACAGGAACTGGGAGAGCAGGTAGCCGTGGGCCGCGTGGACCTGGACGCCGTCGAAGCCGAGCGCCGCGCACCGGCCCGCGCAATCGCCGAACGCTTCCACCACGTCCTCGACCTCGGCCGGTGCCATCGCGACGGGCGACCGGTGCAGCGGCGGGCCGACGCCCGCGAGGCGCAGGGGCACGGCCGACGGCGCCCGGGGCCGCGCCCAGGACGCCGCGACGGGCGACTGGCGGCCCGGGTGCGAGAGCTGCGCGATCGCGACCGCGCCGCGCCGCCGCGCGGCCGCGGCCCACGCCGCGACGGCGGCCCCGTCCGTCGCCGCGTCGACGACGACGTTCCGCGGCGCCTCGAGCGCGCACCGGCAGACCATGACGTTGCCCGTGATGATGAGACCGAAGCCGCCGGCGCCCCAGCGCTCGTAGAGGCGCACGAGCCGCGGCGTGGCGTCGTTGGTGCGCGGCGTGCCGAGGTGTTCCGACGTAGCCGCCTTGCAGAGGCGATTGCGCAGCGTCAGGCCGCAGCGCAGCTCGAGCGGCGCGCCGAGCGCCGCAGGCGCGGGCGGCGCCTCGGGAGAGTCCATCGGCACGGCGAGTCAACGATGAAACGTTGCTGTAACCTTGAACCGCTCTTACGCCTGGTAGAAGGTCTCGGGTAGGACCTGGGTGAGCCACTTGTCCACGGGGGGCTTGCGGTCCGTCCTCTTGTCGACGTAGTGCCAGAGGCCGTCGTCGTCCGGGGCCTCCGGCTCGTGGATGTCGACGGACGCGGGGCATTTCCCGGCGATCGCGCACATCATCGCGTAGATCATCGTGGAGAAGTAGGACCGGGCGCCCATGCCCACGGCGAGCTTGCAGTGCGCGACGAGGTGCCAGGCGAGGAGGAACTGGTAGAGCTCCTCGGACCCGACGGGCTCGCCCGTGACCTGGGCAGGACAAGAGTGCGAAATTCCCAACTTCAAAGGCTCCTCTCTCGGCCATTTTCCGCTCGTTTCGGCTGATTTTTGGACGAGCGATCATCTCTCGGAACGGTCTCGAAGCGTGGATGCTTTTCCCAGAACGCGCGCGCGTGGAACACTCACGTTGAAGCGACGTTGAATCACCCTTGTCCTGCCCTGCCCGTGACCGGGTCCCAGCGGTAGTTGAAGCCGCCCGTCTTGCAGATGGGCTTGTGGTACTGGCGCTCGCAGTCGACCTTGGCCAGCTCCTCGTTGGCGACGACGGCCGTCGTCGACACGAGGGGCCGGCCCGGCGCCACGGTCAGCAGCTCGACGCCGTGCGCGGCGCCGACGGCCGCCGCGCGCGCCTCGACGTCCGCGTCGTCGGTCATGAGCATCATGGGCACGGCCTCGCTGAAGTTCTGGCCGGCGACGGCGCCGAGGTGGAACTTCGCCCAGCCCACGTACTCGTCGAAGGTCGCGTTCGGCGGGAAGTGGTGGTTGTGGCCCTCCTCGGCCGGCAGGAACGCCTTCGTGTACTTGTCGCCGTGGCGCACGTGGACGACGGCGCAGGCGCCCGAGTCGACCGTCGCTCGCCAGGACGGGTGGTCCCGCAGCCACGCGGCCGCGCGCCGCCTCAACTCCATCCGCGTCTTGAAATTCGGCCGCATCGCGATGGCCGCGAAGGCGATCATGAAGTGGGCCTCGCCGTGGCCCGGGTTCAGCGTCCGCGGGAAGCGCCGCACGCCCCGCCGCTTCGCCGACGGGTCCACGTAGTAGCGCTCGCAGGTCCAGTTCGTCTCCTTCCGCCAGTCCCAGGGCCCCGGCGCCGCGCGCGCGCACTCGCCCTCGCCGAGGGCGTTCTCGGGCCCCACGCGGGGCCGCGCGCAGGACGTCTGGGGCAGCCAGAAGCACTCCATGTCCTTGTAGAAGGCGTTTTGATGGCCGCCGGGCCCGCACGCCGCGTCGTCGAGCAGGAAGTTCGGCACGCCCTCGAAGCGGTAGGGCAGCTTGTGCTTCATGGCCGTGTGGATGAAGGCGCGGGCCATGGAGAACATGCGGTTGCCCAGGTACGTGCCGCTGTGGCGCGACACGACGACGACGCGGTCGCACGTGCCGTTGAACTGCTGCTGCCAAAACCGCCGGAGCACCGCCGCGAGCTTGGGCGGCTGGATGCGGAGCTCGACGCGCGGGCAGGGCCCGTCGCGCTGGTAGACGGCGCCGACGTCCCAGCGCCAGTCGAGGTGGTGCCCCAGGAACGCGTCCACGGCGGCCTCGGACGTCTCGAGCCTGCAGGCGACGGCGACGATGTGCGTGTTCTTCGACGCCGCCGCTTCGAGCGCGCGCAGGTCCTCCTCGACGCTGCCCCCCCGGAGCTCCATGTCCTTGGTCCGCCCGCCCTCCCAGGCCGCGGACGCGGCGAACGACGCCAGCCCGAGGGCTTTTGCGAGCATTCTCATAGGATTATAATTATGGTCGATCAAAATGTTGGGCTGCTCGGTGAACTACACCACGCCAGGGACGCCCCAGGCGGCTCTAGATCTCCCTCTCGAGCGGCGCCGTCCCGGCACATTCCGAGGCTTACGAACCTAGCGCGCCCGCCGGGCGAGCCTGGCGCCGCGCTTCGCGGCCTTCGCGGCGGCCGCGGCGGCGACGGGCCGCGCGAGGCGGAGCGCGCCGCGCGCCGCGGGCTGGGACGCGAGGGCGGCGGTCCCGGCGGCGCCGAGCGCGGCGGCGGCGACGCGGCCCGCGGGGAAGCGGCGCCTCGGACGCGGCGGCGGCGCCGGCGGCGGCCGCGGCGGCGCGAGGCCCGCGGCGCCGAAGGCCGCGGCCGCGACGGCGAGCGCCGCCGCCAGCCACCGCCGGGGCCGCGGCGCCGCCCTGGGCGCCGGCGCCGGTGCCGGCGCGGGGGCGCGCGGCTTGCGCACCGCGAGCGGCGACAGCGGCTCGAAGGACGAGTTCCGGTTCACCTTGAAGAGCGCCGTGGGCTGCGGCCGCCCGGGCCGCGCGGTCGCCGCGCCGCGCTTCGACGGGATGGACGGCGCGCGGGGCGGCCGCGCGTTGAACTTCGCCGGCGAGGGGAAGGGGCTGTAGCCGCCGTCGCGGTCCTCGCCCTCGACGAACGTGAGTTCGACGGGGCGCGGCGCGGACGCGATCGCGCGCTCGAGCTCGCGCAGGTCCTCCTCGGACGTGCACTCGACGATGACCTTGCCGTTGACGGCGATGAGCTCGTCCGTGCGCCGCACGCCGTGGTTTAACGCGGGCTCGCGGACGCCGTCGACGACGACGAAGCGCCGGCCGTCGTCGCCGTACTTCGCCAAAGCGACGGTCACGCCGAGCCGCCCGGGGCCGAAGCGCGCGGCGTAGACGAGGCCCAACGCGTCCATCTCCGCCACGTAGTCGCGCAGCAGGCCCCGCACCGTGCCGTGGTAGCGGACCGCGACGTCTCCCAGCGCCGCCTCGCGGTCCTCGACGCGCCGCGACGCCGCGACGTCGTCGCGGAACGACGACTCGGCGCGCAGGCACGCCCGGTCCCAGGCGTCGGGGCCCGACCGGTGGCGGGCCCGGGCCTCGCCGCGGAACTTGGAGGGCTCCGACTCGCCGAGGAGCTCGGACCACTCGACCGCGTTGAGCGACGTCGTCGCGCCGTCGAGGAGCGGCATGTGCGTGTGGCGCACGAGGCGCTGGAGCGCCTTCCACAGCGACTTCTTCTTCGTGCGCGCGCGCTTGTGCGACGACCGCGGCGACATGTCGGCGTCGGCGCCGTCGAGGAGCTCCTCGAAGCTCATCGAGCCCTCGTCGGCGAGGGCGATGCCCGCGACGACCTTGCGCGGCGACGGCGCCACGACCTTGCGCGGCGACGGCGCCACGGCCACGGCCGGCGACGCCCAGGCCGGGCTGTAGAGCTGCGCCATGCGCCGATAGTGTACTCGCGTTCGGCCGTCGAGGGCGGTGGACGAGATGAGAAACAGCCGCGCTTGAATTCTTCAACCCTTCAGCAACAATCCGATGATTACCTGCGGGCAGCGGCAGCCCCCAAAAGACAACCGTCGGCTGACCAGCGCCGTCTCTCCTCGCCTTCGTCCTCCGAACACGAGCACCATGGGCGCCCAACGAGAACCGATCGGCATGACCCGCGCGCCGCGGCGTCCGCGCTCGCCCGAGGGCCGTCGCGCGACGCGAACGCCCGCCGCAGGCGCCAAGACGTGGACCCGCGAGGTCGAGAACGCCTACCGCTTCCAGTGCGCCGGCTGGCGATCCATGGAGGAGTACGAGACCTCGGTGCGTGCCCCCCCCCGCCCACGCCTCGCGGCGCCCCGCCGCCTCTCGCGAGGCCGCCGGAAGACCATCCCCGGCGCGGCCGCCGCCGGACCGGACCCGCCGACGCCCGAGCGAGCGCGCCCATCCCCCTCCCCCGCCGCAGAACTACGAGATGGACACCTGGGAGGACCTCGGCCTCGTGCAGAAGCTCCAGACGAAGTCGAACGGCTACTTCATGTACTTCAAGCGCGACCGGGAGTGCCTCGACAAGTACCTGCCTCGCGTGAAGCTCTTCGAGTACGCGGAGGAGAAGGACCACAAGTGAGCCGTCGCTCAAAGGCCGCAGTCGCCCTCGCCGGCGCGCGGCGAACGTCCCGACCCCTCGAAGACTCCACGACCCCCCCCGCCGCGCGCGCGTTCCCGCCGCCGCGCGGAAAGACCACGACGCCTCTGTTCGACCGCGACGTCGACCGCCGCCCGCGCGCCTCCTAAGCGCGGGCTCCTTGTGAATTTTTGCTTACTTTTTTTTCGGGGGCGAGGCCACTCCTAGGCCTCGCGCTCGTGGGGGCCCATGATCTCGTTGAGCTCGCCGAAGGACGGCAGGCTCGGCGTGTAGTTGGAGCCGATGCCGAAGACCTGGCCGTTGAAGTTGACCGCGAAGCCGCTGTGCTTCGCGGACTGCTTGGAGCCGTGGATGTAGCGCGTGGACTTGACGCCGTCCATGGACGTGAGGAGGAACTGGAGCGCGTCCCAGCTCTTGAAGTGGACGTCCTCGAAGTTCTCGAGGCGCTCGATGTCGATGACGTTGTAGGCGACGTCGCCGCGCGACGTGTTCATCTGCTGCGTGATGTTGATGCCGCTGTTGCCGAAGACGGAGAGGATGTCGCCGAGCATGCCCGGCCGGTTCTCGTTGACGAGGCAGACGCGCATGACCGTGTCGTCGCGGACGGGGAGCGTGGTGGTGGGGAAGTTCACGGAGTCGCGGATGGAACCCGTCTGCAGGAACAACGACGTCGTGTCCGCGGCCATGGCCGCCGCGTTCTCCTCGGCCTCGTCGGTGGACGCGCCGAGGTGGGGGATCGTGATGACGTTGGGGCGCTTCGAGAGCTCGGGGCCGACGGCGAAGTCGCAGACGTAGCGCCCGGTCGCGCCCGAATCGAAGAACGCGGCGAGGCCGCCTCGTCGACCAGTTCGCCGCGCGCGAAGTTGAGGAGGCAGGCGTCCCGCTTCATGTGGCCGAGGAACTCGGAACCCACCAAGCCCTTCGTGTGGTCGTTGTAGGGCGCGTGCAGCGTCACGTAGTCCGAGACCGCCGCGAGCTCGTCCAGCGTGTCGACCATCTTCATCTTGCGCCCCGGCAGGCGCAGCGCGCCCTCGACGGATAAGGACGGATCATACCCGACAACGTCCATGCCGAAGCCCAGGGCGGCCTTGAGCACCGCCGCGCCGATCGCGCCGAGGCCGACCACCCCCAGGGTCTTCCCAGCGATCTCGCGCCCGCCGAACAAGGCCTTGTCCTTCTCGATGCGCTCGTGGGCCGTGCCCTCGGCGTGGAGGCCGTCCATGTGGAAGGCGCCCTCGATGACGCCCCGCGACGACATGAAGAGCGCGCAGAGCACGAGCTCCTTGACCGCGTTCGCGTTCGCGCCCGGCGTGTTGAAGACGGGCACGCCGAGCTCCGTCATGCGGGCGACGTTGCAGTTGTTCGTGCCCGCGCCGCAGCGCGCGATGGACCGGCACATGATGGGCACGTCGCTCTCCGTGAGCTTGTGGGACCGCAGGAGGATGGCGTGGGCGTTCGTCTCGCTGCTTTCGGCGATGCGGAAGATCGCCGGGTCGAAGCGGGCGAGGCCCGCCGCGTTGAGCTTGTTGAAGGTCTTGATGGCCATGCGCGACGCCGCCGCCGGCGAGGCCATGGCTGGGGGTGGTGTGGGCAACCGCGGGCGAGCTTCCCTAGGACTTCCTCCACCTCGTGTCGTGCCGCGCCTCTTGCAATGCCAGTTGCGGCACAGCTGCGGCAACCGAGGGCAATAATATATATATTATAAACTCATCGACGCCGTCCGCGAACGACATCGGCGCACTTACGCGAGCAGCGCGCAGGCCCGCGCGAGCACGAGCCCGCCCACCACGACCGCACCGACGGCCGCCGCGCGCTTCGCGCGCGCGACGCGCGCGCCGTCGTCGAGGAACGCGGCGAAACCGCGGACCCACGCGTCCGCGCGGCCGTAGCCGACGTCGTGGACCCAGTCGGACCGCGCGTGGCCGAAGAGCCGCGACCGCAGGTCCGCGCCCTCGAGCAGCCCGCGGAAGAAGCGCTCGGGGTCCGCGTCGAGCGCGGCCCGCTCGCGGTCGAGGAACGCCGCGGCGGCCGCGCGGAGCCGCGCGGGCACGCGGTCGTCCTCGAGGAGCGCCGCGCCGCGCCGGATCCAGGCGTGGTCCAGCGGCAGCGCCAGCAGCAGGTGGTCCACGCCCCGGCCGAGGTCGAAGGGCAGGTCGCGCCGCTGCGGGTTCCGCGCGACGAAATCCCGGAGTGCGCTCCGCGCGAACGGCGCCCACCGCCGCACGACGGACACGGAGCCCAGGCCCGCCGCCCGCAGGCAGCGCCGCAGCGCCGACACCGTGCGCCCGTAGAAGATGACCTCCGAGGGGACGGCCGTGAACATGGGCACGTTCGAGATGTCGTGCTGGATCATGTACGACAATCTCTCGAAGACCTCCCGGTCGACGCCCGCGTCGTCGGACGTGGAGTCGAAGAACTGGTAGAGCAGCGCCGTGCGCGCCGCCGCGTCGAGGCCGCTCTCCTCCAGGTTCGAGAACGCGTAGCGGTCCGCGAGCGCGGAGCTCAGGCCGTCCGCCTCGAAGCACGCGTCCAGAATGTCGCGGCTCCGCGTGTTCAGCAGGAGCACGAGCCGCGCGACGGACGCGACCTGCGCCGGCTTGAGCTCCGCGCACTGGCCCCAGTCGATGAGCGCGACCTTCCTGGACCCGTCGAGGACCAGCACGTTGCCCGGGTGCGCGTCCGCGTGGAAGAAACCGTCCAGGAAGAGCGTCGCGCCGATCGCGTCGACGACGCGGAGCAGGTTCCGTTCGACGGCGGCGTCGCCCTTGGTCGGCGGCGGCGGCGGCGCGGCGTTTCGGTCGAGGGCGCCCTCGTCGGCGTCGTCGTCCGAGTGCGAGCGCTCGCGCTCGAGCCGCGTCCTCGGCGGCGACGGCGGCGGCGACGCGGCTTTGGCCGCGTAGGCCGCGAGGGTCGTGCCCGGCAGGAACTCCTGGACGAGGACGCTCTCGGAGCAGAGGCCCGGCACGGCCGCGGGGATGACGACGTCGCCGAAGCCGCGCTTCCGGAAGAGCGCGGCCGCGCGCTCCTGGGCAGCACAAGAGTGATTCAACGTCGCTTCAACGTGAGTGTTCCGCGCGCGCGCGTTCCGGAAAAAGCACCCACGCTTCGAGACCGTTCCGAGAGATGAACGCTCGTCCAAAAATCAGCCGAAACGAGTGGAAAATGGCCGAGATCGGAGCCTTTGAAGTTGGGGAATTTCGCACCCTTTTGCTGCCCTGGCGCGCTCCATGTTCCGCACTTCCAATGTAAAATCGAGCTCCAGCGGCAGATTCGCCTCGACCTCGTCGAGGATCGCGACGATCGTCGCCTCCATGTGGAGCTCGAGGATCGCGTTCACCTGCTCGCAGAGGATGCGCTGGTTCTTGAGGTCCATGACGAGGTTCCGACGGACGTCGTCGTAGATGACCTTGACGGCGACGTCCTGGAAGGGCTTCTCGCCCTTGGCCCGCCGCGGCGCGGGCGCCTTGAGGACGCCGCGGTGGACCTGGCCGATGGACGCCGCGGCCAGGGGGGTCTCGTCCAAACTCAGGAACTTGCCGCGGTAGTCCGCGCCGAGGTCGCCCGCGGCCGTCGCGTCGACGGCGGCCCAGGGCCGTTTTCGCGCGTTCTGGAAGGCGAACTGCAGATGCTTCTCAAAGGCCGGGGGCAGCAGCGTCCCCTGGGCCGCGGCGAACTGCGCCGTCTTCAGGTAGACGGAGCCGAGGTCGTCGTACATGGCGCCGACGGCGGGGCCCGCCTGCTCGTGCTGCGCGTCGAGCACCTTGTCGCGCTCGACGCGGTAGCGCTCGTCGTCGTCGGCGTGCTCCTCGCGCAGCTTGTTCACCGTGCGCATGGTCACGACGTACTCGGCCAGGATGGGCGTGAAGTGGCCCAGGATCTTCAGCGTGCGCTCGGCGTCGCAGAAGCTGTCGGAGATGCTCGCGAGGAAGACGCTCTCGCCGTCGACGCCGAGCAGCCGCGACACGCGCGACGTGTAGCTCGGCTCCACGTGGTCGCCCAGGAGCATGGCCTGCATCATCCCGACTCCCGGCGCGGGTGGTGGCGGGGCAGCCCCGATTCGGGAATGCTGACGCTGGTGCGAGCGGCACCGCCGGCCTCAAGGACGGCCCGGTTTGAAGCGCAAGCTGTTTCCTACGGGCGCAGAGGCGCACCCACATCCTGCGCCTCGAGGACAGACCGAGACGGCGGACGAGAGGTAGGCGCTCCTTACGGACGCGCCGATCGGCCCCTCAGTACTTCGGCGGCCCGGCCGCCGCGTCGCCGCCGAAGGAGCCGCCGAGGAGCCCCTGGAGGGCGCTCCGCTCCGCGTCCGTGCGCGCGCCCGACGCCGCCTGCATGGCGAGGCGGTTGTCCTCGAGCGTGACGACGCGGCCCGTGCGCTTGTCCTGCACCATGAGGTACACGAAGTCGTCCATCTTGTTGGAGATCTCCGCGAAGACGAAGCCCTCGCTGTAGGGGCCCTTGACGTTGAAGCGCACGCGCAGCCGCTTCGACCCGTCCTGCTCGTCGTCGTAGGCCGTGTTCTCGATGAAGTTCCGGCGGCCCTCGCGGTGGCCGCCGTGGTCGCGGCCGTAGCCCTTGAGCGGGTCGCCGTAGATGCGCTGGACGCGCTCGTCGGCGACGACGACGGCGAAGGCGCGGTCGAAGACGCTGTTCGGCGACATCTTCGTCGGGAGCAGCTCGCGGACGATGTAGTAGCCGCAGACCGCCGCCAGCGACAGGCCCGCGGCCCACGCGCCCAGGTTCAGGCCGACGCCGACCTTCTGCGCCGGCGTCAGCGGCACGAGGTCGTCGACGTCGCTCCCGTCACCCGCGGCCGGCGGCGCCGGCTTCGGCGCCTCGCTCAGCGGGCGCCGCGCGGGAGCGCACGCGGGCGGCCGGGCGAGCGCACTCGACGCCGCGGGCGGCCGCGCGACGACGGCGAGGCACCGCGGCGACGACCGCGCGACACCCGACCGGCTCGCGGCGGCGGCGAAGCGGCTCAGCATAATGGCGTCGACGAGCGGCGCAGAGGCGAGGCTCTCCGAGGCAGCTGGATCGATGTCGAGAGCTCGCTGACGGCAACTTGGGAAAGCAGCCCATGTTGCAGGGCGGTTATGTCTGCACTCTCTTCCCATATTCACGCTGAAAACCGCAGAGAGGTCGTGGAGATGGCTGCGGGTGCCTAGCCTTCCAGGCCCCAACGACGCCACCATGGACGACGGCGTGGACCTGCTGGACGCGCACCTGCGGTCGCTGCGCTACACCGTGAGCGCCGCGGCGCGCGCGCTGCGCGGCGCGGACCCCGGGCGGCTCGAGGCCCAGTGCTCGTCCATCGACGCGGGCGTCGGTGGCCTCGGCCGGCTGCGCGACGACTTCGTGCGGCTCATCGACGGCGCGCTCGGCGCCGAGCGGCCCGGCGCGCCGGCCGACGACGCGCGCAGCGCCCGCGGCCACGACCTCGTGTCGAGCCTGCTGGGCGCCGCGCTCGAGGAGGAGGCCGACGAGGACGGCGACGCCGTCGAGGAGATCCCGCTCCGGAAGAAGAGCGGCGGCGGCGACGACGTCGAGGAGCTCCGGCCCGCGGCGCCGGCCACCTACGACCGCTTCCGCGAGAACGGCGCGTCGGACGGCGCCGGCCCGGCGTGGGCGCGCGCGCACCGCGTGCAGCCGCTCGCGCCGACGGCGAAAGAACGTTCTCGCGCTCCACCACGGGCCGACGACAAGCGCGCCAAGGGCACGGTCGCGCCGGGCGCGCGGCCGCGGCGGCCGAAGAACGGCGCGTCCGCCGGGCCGCAATTGGTCAAGTCGATCTTCCCCGAGGACTCGCACGCGGGGCCGCTGCAGCGCCAGCGCAACAAGTCGACCATGTCGCGCGAGCAGCGGCGCATCAGCGAGCTCCACGCGGAGCTCCAGGACATGGGCCTCCAGATCGTCGGCGCGGACCCGGGAGCCGCGTTCGCCGCGCCGGAGGCGTCGCCCGCGGCGACGCCGCCCGCGAACCGCCGCGCGCTGCGCGCCGCGACGGTCCAGGCGGCGGACAACCGGGCGCTCGTCGACTCGGAGCGCATCTCGGGCTTCATGGCCGACGAGGGCGGCTACAAGGATCTGCAGGAGCCGGCGCTCGGCCTCCGCGCGGGCCGCGTCTTCCAGCAGAACCCCATCGCGTCGCCGGCCGCGGGGTCGCGGTCGTCGGTGGCCACGGGCGGCGCCATCCCGTCCAAGGGCGCCATCATGCGCTGGGGCCACACGCGGAGCTCGCGCGCGGCCGCGCCGAGTGCGACCGCCGGTTCGGGCGGTCCCGACCAAACTTCGGAATGCTCGAGCTCGGTCAAATTCGATTCGGCTGATGTTTGGACGAATCGATCGCTCTCGTCGAGTGCTCGAAGCAAGGCCGAAGAGGGTGCGTCGAAACCTACGCTCACATTGAAGTCGGGTCGAAGATTCGAATTCGGCGCAGGCACGCGGAGCGCAAGGAAGTGAAGTGCGCGGGCGAGCGCGCGCTCGAGAAGCACGTCATCACGTTCAAGATGCGCATCCGCGCCGTCTACGAGGACGCGGGCCTGCCGACGGGCGCCAAGGCGCGGGTCGTCGGGCTGCTGGACAAGCTCGGGCGCTCCGCGCCGGAGTATCTGGTCGAGGAGACGCTGGCCGAGGAGCGCGTCGACTCCGGGTCGTCCGCGGCCATGTTCGGCAAGGAGCAGATCATCAATCTGGCGTGGAAGGTCGAGCAGGCGCGGACCCACGCCATCCTGGCGGCCTGCCGCACGCAGGCCGCGGACCTGCTCAGCGTCGGCGACACGGAGGAGTACCTCCGCATCGAGGGCGACCCGTTCAACGGCTGGTGCGGCATGCGCCTGCTGTCGCCGACGGAGGAGGCCGTGCAGTATTTCGACCTGATGATCACGGCGGCGCTGATCTACGTGTTCGCGTCCCTGCCGCTGTGCCTGGCCTTCGAGGAGATCAACGAGCGGCTCTACTACGTCAACTTCTTCTGCGACCTGTTCTTCTGCCTGGACGTCGTCAAGAACCTGCACATGGGCTACCAGGACGCGACGGGCACCCTCGTCATGGACCGGTCGCGGGCGTTGCTGCACTACTGCAAGACCTGGCTCCTCATCGACACGGTGTCGTCCGTGCCCGTCGCGCAGCTCCTGGAGCTCGCGGACGAGTCGAGCGACAACAAGATCCTGAGCTCGAAGAAGGCGTTGAAGGTGCTGAAGCTCGCGCGCATGACGAAGCTCGTGAAGCTGCTGCGGGCGTCGCAGTTGGTGAAAAAGGTGCGGAACGTCGCGCGCGAGTTGCTCGAGTACTACCAGGTCCACGTGTCGGACACGACGATGAAGCTCCTGCGGCTCTTCGTGGCCATGCTGCTGCTGACGCACTGGGGGTCCTGCATGCTGATCCTGCTCGTGCGGACCTACAACTACCCGCGGCTGTCCTGGGCCGTGCTCTGGGAGCTGCTCGAGGCGGGCTCGGGCCGCCCCGTGGTCTCCGTGTCCCACGCCTACTCCTGGGGCTGCTACAAGACGCTGCTCCTGGTCGTGGGCCAGGGCTACCTCGACTTCCCCTCCGGCCAGGCGTGCCACACGACGACGGGCTGGTGCCTCATCGAGTCGTGGACGACGCTCGTGGGCATGTTCCTGGGCTGCATCTTCAACGCCTACGCCGTGGCGTCGTTCACGGCGATGATCGTCGCGTCGAACGTGTCCACGCAGGAGTTCGAGGAGCAGCTCCTGCGGACGAACGAGTACATGCGGTCGCTGCACCTGCCGTCGGAGCTCCGCGACCGCATCCGCGAGTACTACCACCACCGCTGGCACGAGGGCAAGATCTTCGACGAGACGCTCATCCTCGAGCGCCTCAACCCGGAGCTCTGCATGGAGATCCTGGCCTACAAGATCCGCGAGCTCGTGCCCAAGGTCCCGATCCTGCGGACGGCCTCGAAGCGGTTCTCGGAGCTTTTGGCGAAGTCCATGGACCCGCAGGTCTACGTCGAGGGCGAGTGCGTCGTCTCCGAGGGCGAGCGCGGCGACACGCTCTACTTCATCGACAAGGGCCTGTGCGAGATCCTCGTCGCGGCCGTCGCGAACGAGGTCGTGCGCGTGCTCGGCGACGGCTGCTTCTTCGGCGAGGGCGCGGTGATCCTCAAGCTCAAGCGCACGGCGACGATCCGGTCGAAGCACATCATGTCCCTCTACTGCGTCAAGGCCGAGGACTTCGAGAACACCATCGCGGAGTACCCCGACGTGTCGTCGTACGTCGAGCGCATCGCCAAGCGGCGCGTCGAGCGCATCCAGCAGCTCCACATCAACGCGCGGCTCTCCAACGGCACGGAGCTCATGGACGCCGAGGACGACGAGGACGTGCGCACGCCCCTGTTCCGCGCGGCGAACACGCGGGCCCACAACCTCGGCCGCACGACGAAGATGCACGAGACGCCCGCGGTCCCGCTGGGGCACATGGGCAAGACCGCGGCCTTCAACCGCTTCAAGACCGCCATGCTGGGGGTCGCGCCGGGGGCCAAGTAACTTTTACGCTAGCTAGCTCTCGCCAACTTGAACTTTCTTGGGCAGCCCGTTGCTCAACGTTGAGAACATGGAGGTCCACATCGGGCAGCGCGTGAAGCGCCGCGCGAGCGTCGCGCAGACGCGGACCACCGGGAAGGAGCACGTCCTGGGCACGGTGGTCCGCGCCGCGGAGAAAAGCGGCTGGGTCGTGCGGTGGGACGGCGCGGACGAAGAGGTCCTCTCGAGCCGACGCGTCCGCACGTACCTCGTCGACGACGCGGCCGAACCACCGCAGCGCACGACCAAGAGCGCGACCAAGAGCGCAGCACCGCAGCGCACGACCAAGAGCGCGACCAAGAGCGCGGCGAGCAGCCGTCCGAAGCGTCGGCGGCAGCCGAGCGCGCCTCGGCCGCCGCCGCCGAGCGCGCCGCCGCCTCCGCCGCCGGCCGCGGCCTGCGAGCTCGGCTGCATGAGCTGGGCCGCGCGGCCGACCCAGCCGCCGCCTCCCGCACCGGTGAAGGCCGCGGCGGCCGAAGAACACCTCAAAGACGTCGCGGCGCTCAACGACGAGCGGGAGCCGGTCGAAACGCCGCCGGCGGCCGACGAGGAGCCGAAGCCGGTCGACGCGCCGGTCGAGGAGCCGAAGCCGGTCGGCGCGACGCGGCAGCCGGTCGACGCGCCGGACGAGGAGCCGGTCGCCGCGACGCTGCGAGAAATGGACGCGTCGGACGAGCAGCCCGAGGAGGAGGAGGACGACGACGACGCGCCCCCGGCGAAGCGACGGCTCTCCGAGGGCATGCTCGCGTGCGCGGCGGTCGCGAAGGAGCTCGCGCCCCGGGAGCAGAAGGAAAAGCGCCGATTGTCGTGGTTCCGCAAGCGCAAGGAGGACCCGGGCATGAAGGTCGAGTGGCACGGCGGCGGCGGCTTCGGCGCGCGCGAGGAGGCGTGGCGCCGGCGGGACGACGGGTCCTGGCGCGCGCTCCGCGACGGGACGAACGACGATTAACCACGGCCCCTACTCCGTCGTGCCGTAGTAGGAGACGACGCCCGCGCCGGCGACGACGACCGACGCGCCCGTCGCGTAGAGCGCGAGGCGCCGCGCGTCGCCGCCGAGCTCGTCGTAGAGCAGGATGCCCCAGGCGCCCGTGACGAGCATGGAGCACTGGGAGAGCGTCGAGGCGACGGAGTAGTCGAGGGCGACGACGGCGGCGACGTAGCAGCAGATCGAGCTGCCGTAGATCGCGCCCGCGCACATGGCCGGGCAGACCGCGGCCCGGCCGCTCGCCAGGGCCGCGGGCGCGCCCGCGCGGTGCGCGGCCAGGGCGGCCAGGGACGACCAGAGCAGCGCGGAGAGCGCGAAGGACGGCACGTAGTGGATGCCCTGCGCGTCGTCGCGCGCGTACTCCTCCGGCGCCATGTTCGAGCCGCCCAAGCACGCCGACGACGGCGGACGCGACGAGGCCCAGGGGCAGGTTCGCCTCGTCGGGCACGAGGCGCTCGTCCTTGTCGTCGTCGTCGGGGAGCAGCGTCGCCTCGGCCTGGTCCGGCGGCGCCTTCTTGACGAGCGACGCGGAGACGACGAGCGCCAGTCCGCAGATGACGACCAGAATGCCGACGAGCGACAGGGCCACGGACCGCATGCCCTGGTCCAGGATGTAGGCCGACCAGACGTAGGCCGTGACGAGATAACACGCGGCGGCGATGCCGCTCGGGATGGCGACGCCCGCGTTGGGGATCGCCACGCCCAGCGTGAGGCCCGACGCGACGGTCAGGATCGCGCCGGACAGGAGCCCCCAGTTCGTCCAGTGGAGGTAGCCCTCGAAGGCGACGACGACGACGGCGACGACGGCGAACCCGAAGATGAAGGCAACGTTGAGCAGCAGCGGCGGCAGCCGCGCCTCGACGACGCGCCGCGACTTGATGATCGCCGGCCAGGACCCGTTGAGCGCCGCGCTGCCCACGGCCGCCAGGTAGCCCGCGGCGCTCATGCTTGCGCGCTCGACGACGGCCGACACGCTTAGGCGACGACGACGCTCACGCTCCTATAATCATGTCAGCCATCGTGGCGCTTGGATACGAGCACCGCACCCACCGAACTTGAAGTTCGCCGAAGATCGAGCGACGCGCGCGCACGCGAGCCGCGGCCGCGGCGACCGACGAACGAGCAACAGCGCGGGTGTGTTACGCCGCCGGCCCCTAGTCGTCCTCGTCGAACTCCGCGAGGATGCTGGCCGTCACGGGCGAGCTCGGCCGCGGCGCGGGCCCGAGTTGGGCCCCCGGCGTGTAGGGCCGCGGGAGGTCGTCGAGGGACCCGTTGCCGACCATGGAGCAGAGCAGGGCCGCGAGCGCGGCCTTCTCGTCGTCGATGAGCTCGTCGAGCGGCGCGTAGCCCGTCGTGCCGTAGGACTCGGGCGTCAGGTCCTTGCAGCGGCTCGTGTTCTTCTCGTCGTAGACCACGACCCGCACGATGTTCGTCGGCCGGCCGTCGCGCAGGAGCTCGTAGGCGACGCAGCGGACGCCGTCGTCGAGCGCGTAGAGCTCGACCTCCGCGTACTCGGGCTCCGCGTCGCTCAGGTCCGAGGAGAAGCCGGCGCTCCCGAGGCTCGACGCGGCGGACATGCCCCCGCGCTTCCGTCGCTTCTTGCGCTTCTTCTTCTTGCTCGACTTGGGCGGGCTCAGCATCGCGTCGAGGCCCTCGGGCACGTCCGCCGTCGTCCCGAGGCCGCGCACGACGAACTCGGGCCGGGACCCGAAGGACTCGATGGAGTCCACGGACTGGCTGTGGCTCAGCGCGTTCTTCGCCTTGAGCTTCGTATGTCGCTTGTAGTGGAGGGACGACGTGTCGCTCTCCCCGCGCAGCCGCGCGTCCTCGATGGCCTCGAAGATCTTGCGCATGCAGATCGTCGTCTCCGGGTCCATGTCGCTCGGCGGGCCGTAGGCGTGCTTCCCCATGGTCGCCCCCGGGAGGTCGCCCGGCGGACGCCCGGCGGCACCAGAGGCGCGGGCTGCTGGCGCCAACAGCGCGAGAGCACGGCGCGAAGCGCTAAATCAAGGGCTGGCTCAACAACGACAAACATCTTGCGCCGGGGTCGGCAGTGCCTCGCGGGCAGCCCGTGTTTGAGCGCGCCGTCGCCGCCGCCGCGGCCGCCGCCGTCGCATGGCCTCCTGCACGGCCCTGGGCTGCTCGCTCGCCGGCACCTGCGAGGCCTTTGGGCTCGAGGTGGGCCAGGCCGAGAGCGAGCTCGCCGCCGAGTGCATCCGCAACGCGCACTGGGAGGGGACGCAGGCCTGGACCGAGGGCAAGTGGACGGTGCTGAACAAGCAGCAGTTCCACCACGACTGGTCCTTCACCTACAAGTCCCGCGACGGGTCGAACGCCGTCGTCGACCTCGAGGCGTGGGAGGAGAGTTTGCGCGGCCTCCTCACGGACGTGCCGCCGGACGACTTCTACTGGAACGTCAAGCTCCACGTGCCCGACGACGGCTTCGAGATCTTCGACGAGCTCATCGAGGTGCCCTACCGTGTGTCGCCCGTCGCGCGCGTGCCCGCGGGCGCGGTCCTCCGCCACGGCGGCCGCGCGTTCCGCGTCGGCGACGCGACGGAGGTCGTGCTGCCGTCGGAGTACATCACGGCGCGCGTCGACCGCCGGACCTACCGCTGGGTCGCGGCGGAGCGCGTCGCCGTCGAGGCGCGCACCGACGGCCGCTCCGTGAACACGGGCGGCGAGGCGCTCCCCGTGGGCATCCCCATCGCCTGCGGCATCGACGTGTCCGAGGCCGGGCCCGCGCGGTCCAACGAGAACTACTTCGGCGGGCTCTAATGTTGTCCCTGTGTGCGGTTACGCGAGCCTAGGCCGACGCGGGCTGCTCGAGCGGCGCGCCGAGCATGGTCTCCACCGCGGGCGTGAGCTGCTTGCAGAGCGCGGCCTGCGCGTAGGCGTTGCCGTCCGCTTCCACGAGCTTCTCGAGCATCTCCGTGCGCATGGCCTCGAGCGTCGCCTCGTCCTTGATCATCTCGAGGACCTTGCTCTCGCGCGCCGTGAGCGACGCGAAGGCCTTGGCCGCGAAGGCCTCGTCGGCGAGCGCCGCCTTGAGCGCCGCGATCTTCCGCTCCGACGCCGCGAAGACCTCCTTGCCGAGCGCGACCTCGAAGCGCTTGTGCGCGTCCGCGAACGTTTCGTCGTCGACGCCGAGCGCCGCCGCGCAGCGCTCGCAGAAGCCCGCGTGCTGCGCCTCGGAGAGCTTCTCCGCCTCGACGTACGCGCCGCACTCCGTCGCCAGCAGGAAGACGCCCTTGGCGTACGGCGCCGCCTCGTCGAAGCCCGACGCTTTAGAACCGGAAAGCGCGCCCTTCATGCGGCCGAGCAGGCCCGGCTCGGGCGTCGTGGCGTTGCCGGCGAGCTGGTCCTTCTTCGCTTGGAGATTCTGGAGCTTGACGTCCATCCAGTGCACGGCGAGCAGGCTCTCGTTGCGGTCGGGTTTCAGCGACTCGGCCTCGAAGGCGTCGAGCGCCGCGCAGGCGCCGCCCTGGGCCTTGGCCGCGGCGACGGCGTCGGCGTAGCGCTTCGTCGCCTGCTCCTCCTCGCTCAGCTCCGGCGCCGCTTCCTCCTCGAAGAGGTCGGCGTCTTTGGTGTCCTCGGCGCCGCCGCGCACGGCGCCCTTCGGCGCGGCGCCGGGCCAGCGCAACGCGCTCGACGTCGCGAGCAGGGCGAGCAAAGCGAGGCGCATCCTTGCCATCGGATATAATTAATCGCGATTCGATACGCGTCAACATTCAAGTTGAAGTATGCGATCGAGCTGTTGCCGGCGGCTCGCGCGCGGAGCGCACACGCCGGCCGCCGGCACAGAGAAACGAACCAAGAAAGCAAAGAAGTTAGTCGCAGGGCTCGTGGAGCTGCGCGTCCTCGCTGAGGCCCGCCGCGCGCCAGTCCGGGTGCTTGACGGGGTACTCGACGTTGTGGCACTTGACCATGGCCTCGTACTCCGGCGTCGCCGGGTCGAAGAGGTTCTGGTCGAAGCAGGCGCCGCCGGTGCGCGCGACCTCGGCGACGCGCGGGCTACCGACGCGCTCGCAGACGTCGCCCATGCGGAGCGGCACGTACTGCGCGAGCGCGTACTCGCGGAGCCGCGCGTACCTGGGCGCGTCGCAGTAGGCGGCGACGAAGAGGGCGTCGACGAGCGTGATGGCGAAGGGCGACGGCCGTCGTCGCGCGCCGCCCGTCATAAACGCGAGCTCGTCGGTGCAGGCGGCGTTGAGGCTCACGGCCAGCTGCGTGCGGTCCAAATTCTGCGGCGTGGCCGTCGGGAAGCGCGCGAGGCACTCGGTGATGGCGCGCCAGTCCGCGAGCCACTGGGCGCGCGTCTGCGCCGTCGCGTAGCGCTGGCCCGTGGGCATGACGTACGAGTTGGGGTAGAGCCGCTCCGGCGACGCGAAGGCGCCGGCGGCGAGCCGCCGGGCGGCGCGCGGTTGTGTTGTGGGCGGCGGCGCGACGAGCGCGCAGGCGAGCGGCGCGAGCAGCGCGGTGGCGAGCTTTTGGCGGCCCATCAGCTCTGCAAGCCTGCACCTTCAACGTTTCCGTCAACGACGCTGCCCGCCCTTTGCGGCCTCTTGTGATTGGGCCCTCTCGACGAGCTCCCGAGTGAGGGCGACGCTCGGAAGCCGCGCGCCAAGCATGGGCCTCGAGGACAAGCTCCTGGACGGGGAGGAGACGAAGGCCGGCCCCGCGGCCGACGAGGAGTGCCTCGACTGAGACGCGGGGTCCGTCGAGCTCGGGCAGCCTTTGGCCGCCAAGCTCGATGGCGAGGCGAAGCAGTCGCTCGCCGTGAGCGTCTGCAGCCTCATCATGGCCATCCCGGTCCGCGCGCCCGCGTCCGACCGGCCCACCCTGCGACAAAGCAACGTTTTTTTTCCCCTAGGCCATCGTGGGCAGCTGATGCTGGCCCATCCTGGTCGGCGCGATCTTCGGGGTCGCCGCCGGCCAGGTCCCCGGAGGCCTCGTGGCCATGTTCCACGGCATCCAGGTCGCCATCATGCTCGCGCTGATGACGAACATCATCCAGTTCGCCTACTGGAAGCAGCGGGGCAAGTCCCAGAAGCCCATTTATCTTCTGTGCCTCGCGACGCTGCTGGTCATGGTCCAGCCGACGTCGATGCTCGTCATCGGGTCCTACCACGACGCGGCGCTGGCCACGGGCGGTTTGTGCATCTCCCAGATTTCGCCCGTGACCTACCCCGTGACGAACACGAGCGTCTGGCGCGACTGCGTGTCGGAGCCGCCCTTTGGCAATTTCTTCTTCGACGGCGACGACGACCCGAACGCGCTCACGCCCAACACGTCCGATCGGCTGGTGCATCCAGATCTTCGGCACCTACGGCGGCTTCCTGCTCATGTTCGTCGCCGTCTTCGAGGTCACGCAGCTCGGCAAGAAGCTCAAGAAGCGCTGGGTCGCCATCCGCGAAGCCGCGGCCTAGGGCCGATCCCGGCCATCTCCGCGGCGCCGCCCCCGGTTGTTCGTCGCCGCGCGCGCCTCGTCGGCGGCGCGGGCCCACGTCCATGACCGCCCCCGCGCTCTCGCCGCGTTTCGACGCGGCGAGCGCGGGGGCGCGACCCCGTGGCCCGCGTCCCGACGACCGCGCGGCGACGACACGACCGGGGGTTCTCAAGCCCCGCGCGCCGCGGCAACGGCCGACCCCCGCCATCGTGTATATAAGAACGATCGACCCCTAGGTCTCCACGGTGGCGTCGTCGTCGTCGTCGAGGTTGAGCGTGTAGGCGAAGCGGCCGCCGCTCCGGTTGAGCGTCGAGGAGATGGAGTAGTCCGACGGCCCCGGCGTCGACGCGGCGCGCTGCAGCGTCGCCTCGAAGGACGGGTCGCCCTTGACCGTGCCGGAGCCCATGTGGCCGATGACGGAGAACGTCGGGATCATGATGTCGCCGTCGACGCGGTACGCGCCCGGCCCCGGGTTCTCGTTGGGCACGTTGAGGTTGCCGAGGCGCGCGGACGTGCCGCCGAGGTTCACGGTCCCCCGCGAGTCGGGCTTGTCCGGGTTGTAGCGGCCCGGGCCGGGCACGTCGTTGGGCACGACGCGCCGCGCGAGCGTCGACCCGAGCCACGCCATGGGGTTGTTCGACTTGCGGCCGTCGGGCGGGTTGTAGGCGCCCGGGCCGGGCACGCCGCGGTAGATGCCGGCCATGCGCTCCGCGAAGGCGTCGTTGCGCGGCGCGGTGGAGAACCGCGCGCCCGGCTCGGAGGAGCTCGGCCGGCTCGCGGGCCGGCGCCCGTCGCCCCGGTCGTCGGCCGACGACGCCGGCCGCAGGACGTCGTAGGCGCCGGGGCCCGGCGTCCGCAGGCCCTTCTGTTCGGCCAGGGCCATGTAGGAGTCCGCCGTCGTCACGGAGCCGAAGAACGCGGACGGGTCCACGTGGATGCGGCTCGGGTCGTAGTCGCCGGGCCCCGGGACGTAGTAGTCGAAGTGCTTGCCCTTGGGGCCCTTGTACTTGACGGCGACGGGCGACCGGTCCGACACGGGCAGCCTATAAGCCCCCGGCCCCGGCTCGAGCGCCGCGCGCGCCATGGTCCGTTCCAAGTCCGACGGCGGCGCGGCCCTCGACATCGTCACGCCGAGGTCCGACCGTTCCAACGCCGCGGCCGCCAAACCATAGTCGTAGTGGCCCGGCCCCGGCTCCTCGCCCCTCAAACGCATGGCCACGTCGAAGGCCGACTCGCGCGACGACCCGGAGACGATCTTGCCGCCCGCGGTCTTCGGCCGCCGCGGCTCGTAGTGGTCCGGGCCGGGCGCGACGCCGTCGTCCGCGAACTGGCGCCGCTTCAGGGGGTCGCAGGGCACGGGCACGGGGCCCATGCGCCCGCCGGACGTCGACGGCCGCGTCACGCTGTAGGCGCCCGGCCCCGGCGTCTTCTCGCGCGCGCCGAGCGCGGACCGGAGGTCGCGGGTGAAGCGGACGCCGGCCGCGCGCGAGATGTCGCCCGCGACCTCGTAGGCCCCGGGCCCCGGGAACTTGCGCCGCGCCAGCGCTAAAAGCGGCGAGCTCGTCGACTTCGTCTCCTTGATGTTGACGTGGCGGATGCGCTGCGCGACCGCGTCGAGCCGCGGGTGGTACGCGCCCGGGCCCGGTAGTAAAGCCGCTTTCCGGATGTGGCGGTCGAGCTCGGTAGGTGCTAACCCCGTGCTCATGAAGGGCCGCGTCGGCGGCTCCCGCGTGTAGGTCAACAGGTTGATGTGCGCGTCCTGCGCCGCCTTGGGCGGGCGGTAGGGCTCGGCGCGCGGGAAGAGCAGGTTCGCGGGGGACCGCGGCGCCGTCGTCGGCGGCTTGGAGCTGTCCTCGAAGGCGTCGGGCATGGCCACCATCTTCACCACCGCCGGCGCCATGGTGGCGAGCGGCCGGAGCGGCCGGGAGCGGCCGCGTCGCACCGGAGGCTGCCCGGCCTCTCAGACGATAGCGCTCGTCCTCTCACACAGGATTACAATAGACGAAACCCTCGCTGCATCCCCAGCTTGTTGAAGAGCTGCCTTGATTTGGTTGCAGTGGCGAATTGAGCATGGGAGACGCGTGCCACCACAGGCGACTGTCCGCGCTGCGCGCCGCGCTCGTCGTCGTCTTCCTGGCCACGGCCGACGCCCTGGCCGGCTTCGGCGCCAAGGCGGTCAAGAAGAAGAAGAAGAAGCCCGCGCTGCGCACGGACCTCCGCAAGGCCGGCACGGTGCTGCCGCTGACGCACCGGCCCGTGCCCGAGGGCATCATGCGCCCCGACTACGCCGCCGACGGCACGCCGAAGAAGGTGGACCTCCGGCCGTCGTGGATGATCGAGGTGAAGAGCGCCAAGGACGTCGAGATGATGCGCGCGGCCGGCAAGGCGGCGCGCGAGGTGCTCGACGCCGCGGGCGCCGCGGTCAAGCCCGGCGTCACGACGGACGCCATCGACGCCGTCGCCCACGCCGCGGCGGTGGCGCGCGGCGCCTACCCGTCGCCGCTCAACTACCACGGCTTCCCCAAGAGCTGCTGCACGAGTGTCAACGAGGTCATCTGCCACGGCATCCCCGACGACGTGCCGCTGAGGGAGGGCGACATCGTCAACGTCGACATCACGGTCTACAAGGACGGCTACCACGGCGACTGCTCCGAGATGTTCTACGTCGGCGCCGTCGACGACCGGTCGAAGGCCCTGGTCGACTGCACGTACGAGTGCTGGCAGAAGGCCATCGAATTCTGCGAGCCGGGCCGGCCCTACAAGGAGATCGGGGGCATCATCGAGGACGCCATCAAGGGCACGGGCTACAAATCCGTCGAGCAGTTCTGCGGCCACGGCATCGGCAAGCTCTTCCACACGAACCCGAACATCCTCCACTATCGGAACAAAGATCCGAACGGAATCATGGCCGTGGGCCACACCTTCACCATCGAGCCCATGATCTGCGAGGGCACGATCAACGCCAACCTCTGGAAGGACAACTGGACCGCCGTGACGAAGGACGGCGGACGAAGCGCGCAGTTCGAGCACACGCTGCTCATCACGGAGGACGGCATCGAGGCGCTCACGGGCAAGCTCGACGACTCGCCCCTCCAGCCCTGGGAGGAGACGCGCGGGGGCTTCAAGACGAAGTGGGCGAAGTAACACCAAAATGAGGGACAAGTTCATGTCCTGCGAAAAACCGAGGCGGCGAGTGAGCAGGGATCCTCGAGCCGCGCGCGGGCAGTCCATTAGGGCAAACTTTCCTTCATCATGCCCACGGGTGGGAAAACTGAGGTGGCGAGCTGAGCAGGATCACAGTCGAGCCGCGCGCGCGCGCCGGCTCGCGCGCCGGCGCGATGCAGCGGAGGAGCATCGCGCATGCGCACGCGTACGCCGGACGCGTCGCACCATGGCGCGCGCAATTATTGCTCCTGGCATTCCTAACCCGCGCCGCCGGCTTTGCGCTGCGCCCGCCGAGCCTGCGCGCGCGGCAGCCGTGCGGGCACCCGCCGAGCCTGCGCGCGCGGCAGCCGTGCGGGCACGACAGACGGCTGCGCCTCGCCGCGCTGCCCGTGGGCATCGATCCCACGGATAACCTGCCCGCGGGCTGGGAGGTCTACGAGGAAGGCGGGCGGACCATGTACTACAACGCGCTCGACGACAGCAGCACGGCCTTCCACCCGTTTTACGACGAGGACGCCGCCGCGGAGGTCGAGGCCGTCGACAGCGCCATCGACGCGCTCGCGGACGTCGACGGGCTGAGCGCGGCCGAGCAGGCCTTCTTCGACAACGTGAAGGCCTACGTGCCGCCGCTCGGCGGCCGCGTCGCTGGCGCGCTCGACGCCTTCGTGGAGGACAGGCCCGCGGACGTCGTCGAGGACGCCCTCGACAAGCTCGCGGCGCCCGACGGCGCCGCGCGCGCGCCGGACCCCGCGGAGGCGCTCTTCGACGGCTGGGGCGCGTCGTCCGGCGACGGCGCGGCCGACTGGTCCGCGGACGCGGGCGGCGCTGCGGGCGAGTCCTGGTCCGCGGACGCGACCGAGGCCTGGTCCGGCGACGCGGCCTGGGACTCGGGCGCCGACACGGCGTCGATCCTCTGGGGCGACGCCGGCGACGTCGCCGGTGACGTCGAGGACGCCGTCGAGGACGCCGTCGAGGACGCCGTCGAGGCCGTCGAGGCCGTCGAGGTCGAGGTCGACGCGGACGAGCTGCTAGACCTCTTCGCCGACGAGGCGGCGGAGCAGTACGAGGAGCTCTACGAGGACGAGCGGCTCGGCGTCGCGTGCTCCCACGAGCTCATCGACGAGGACGAGGACGGCGACCCCGTGAGCCTCTGCTCGAGCTTCACGTACACGGCTGTGTGGATTCCAAATCTTCAACCCGACTTCAATGTGAGCGTATTCGAATGTTTTGACACGACCACTTCCGCCGTGCTTCGAGAACTCGCTGAGAGCAATCGATCCGTCCAAAAATCAGCCGAATCGACTTCGATTTGACCGAGCTAGAGAATTCTGAAGTTTGGCCCCGACGTCCCAGCTCACTGGTTGATTTGCACACAGGTACGTCGACGAGGCGACGTGCGTCGGCTGCACCATGTGCGCCACCATCGCGCCCCAGACGTTCCTCATGACGGACGACCACGGGCGGGCCCGGTCCTTCAACCAGGAGGGCGACGACGAGGAGACGATCCGCGAGGCGATCTCGACGTGCCCCGTCTCGTGCATCCACTACGTCCCCTGGGACGAGCTCGTGGCGTTGGAGCGGAACCGCGAGGCCGTCATGTTGAGCTACAACTTCAAGGGCCGCCTCGTGGGCAACGAGGGCCTGGGCATCGCCGCCGACGGCGCGGGCGAGGCTTTGCAGGAGATCTCGACGAACTCCGCGCTCCGCTGCAACAACTGCCCGACGAACGAGTGCCGCGACTGCCCCATGTTCGGCGTCGGCGACCGGGCCAACGGCGCCCTCTGCGGCAACTGCCCGTCGAACGGCTGCCAGGGCTGCCCCCGGGCCATGGAGTACCCCGAGTTCTCGAAGCGGCGCGCGCGCCGCGACCGGAAGCGGCGCGCGCTCGAGCGCACGCGCAAGGAGGAGGCCGCGGCGGCGCTGAACCTCGAGGACCGCAACGTCGAACTTTAATCTGTGCATAGTAGACCTGGGTGATTGGGGCGATGATGCGGAGACGGTCCGTACTGAGGCCTACACGGGCGGTTAGGCCCTGCGAGTTCGCCTCCGCTACTCGCCGAATTCCCGACTTTTGAGTGGCTACCTCGTACTCCGCCTGCACGGCCTCGGCTCGACAAGGAGCGATGCTTGACTCCGCCGCCGTAAAGGCTCTGCGTGACATCAAGAGCCTCTTCGACGACGGCATCCTCACGGAGGAGGAGTACACAAACATGAAGGCCGAGATCCTCACCGGCGCCCGTTCGCCTGAGCCCGCGCCCGACGCGGTACCGCTAGCGCAGAGCATGGCGGCGCTGAGAATGACTGGGCCTTACGAGTGCGTCGACACGCTCATTGGACACTCGGCCTCGGCGCGTCTCCGGCGTCCGGCCGCGCCGTCTTCGAGCGAGTGGAGCCTCGGATCGTCGTTCGCCGTCCCCGAGCGCCCCGCTCATCTCCCTCGCGCAGGTGTGGTGCGTCGCGGCCCTGCCGGACGGCTGCATCGTCTCCGGGTCCAGCGACGAGTCGCTCATCGTCTGGGACCCGACCGACGGCCGCCGCCTCCGTACGCTCATTGGACACTCGTCCTGCGCGCGTCATCGGCGTCCGACCGCGCTGTCTCCAAGCGAGTGGAGCCTCGGATCGTCGTTGCCGTCCCCGAGCGCCTCGCTCATCTCCCTCGCGCGCGCACGCAGGTGAGGTGCGTCGCGGTCCTGCCGGACGGCCGCGTCGTCTCTGGGTCCGACGACAAGTCGCTCATCGTCTGGGACCCGACCGACGGCCGCCGCCTCCGCACGCTCGTCGGACACTCGAGCTGGGCGCGTCTCCGGCGTCCGGCCGCGCCGTCTCCGAGCCAGGCGGAGCCTCGGATCGTCGTTCGTCGTCCCCGAGCGCCTCGCTCATCTGCTTTGCTCGCGCGCGCAGGTGTGGTGCGTCGCGGCCCTGCCGGACGGCTGCATCGTCTCCGGGTCCGACGACAATTCGCTCATCGTCTGGGACCCGACCGACGGCCGCCGCCTCCGCACGTTCACCGGCCACTCGAACGACGCGCGTCCCCGGCGTCCGGCCGCGCGTCCGGCCGCGCCGTCTCCGAGCGAGGCGAAGCCTCGGATCATCGTTCGCCGTCCCCGAGCGCCCCGCTCATCCGCCTCGCGCACGCAGGTTATGTGTGTCGCGGTCCTGCCAGACGGCCGCGTCGTCTCCGGGTCCCGCGACCATTCGCTCATCGTCTGGGACCCGACCGACGGCCGCCGCCTCCGCACGCTCATCGGACACTCGTCCTACGCGCGTCTCCGGCGTCCGGCCGCGCCGTCTCCGAGCGAGCGGAGAGCCTCGGATCGTCGTTCGCCGTCCCCGAGCGCCCCGCTCATCTGTCTCGCGCGCGCGCGTAGGTCTATTGCGTCGCGGCCCTGCCGGACGGCTGCATCATCTCTGGGTCCGGCGACCATTCGCTCAAGGTGTGGCAGGCCGCGTAATCGGGCCGTCGTCGTCGGCTGAGTTGGCAAGGCCAGAATAACGGATCGCTCGGAAATACTTGAAGGAGCCGCGCGTCGAGCTCGCGCGGCTCCGGCTACTCTGCGCCCGCGGCCGCGCGACGCCGCG